CATAGAACCCTAGTCTGGCCTTCCTCCAGCTGCATCCTCCTCATGAGGTGAGGAGTACAAGAAACCAAAGGTACATGGTTAGATGCCCCTCCTTCATCTAAACCATGCTCTGTCTGGGCACTTCAGAATTCTTTGCCCAAATTCAGGCTGCTCACCAGGCTACTTCTCCAAGTCAGTCTCCTATGTTAGTACATGGACCCCAAGGCCCAAAGAATGGCAAAAAGTAGCAGGTTTGACAGAGTGGACAGAGTTTGACTTTCTGGGCTGGGGTATACATAATCATTCATGTAAGACCCTTAGAATAAAGATAGGGGTGGGAGAAGAAGAGAGGCCCAGGACAGGGGGCTGGGGCCAGCTCTCCCAGTGCCACCACTTGTTAGTATAAAATTCTGAGGAATCCAAGAATTCTCTATTGAACTTGACCTTCTAGGTCATTAGGAAGTTACATTTCTCAGTGTAGGAGGGAGGATTGGAAGATGTTTTATTTAATAATTTATCTTGATGTATGACTTTTAAATTAAGATTTAGACATATGGTATTTGAACTCCATTCATACTCTTCCTCCTCTGGACTCTACAAATGTTAGGGGTTTGCCTGACAGTGAGCTTGGGGTACTTTGGGGTCAAGATGAAACTATATTTCTGTTTTAACAGGCTCTAAAGCCCAATGTAAATGTCTCCAGCCTCAAGAAGTGGGATTACTACATAGAAGAGACCCTGTCCACAGGCCCTTCCTATGACTGGATGATGCTAACCCCCAAGCATTTCCCCTCCGAAGACTCTGACCTGGCTGGAGAAGCTGGGCCACGGAGCCAGAGGAGAACAGTGTGGCCATGCTATGATGATGTCAGCTGTACTCAGCCCGATGCTCTCACCAGCCTTTTCAGTGTAAGTCAACTGTAGACACACACCTGGGGCACCAGGGGCCCTGGAGGCACGAGGCCAGAGGAACCAGGCTAAGTTAAGAATGGTTTACAAACTTCTGAACATGGCTCTGCTTACTCTGGGCTAGGGTTATGGTAGCACCCTCCGTGTATGAAGAAACCAGATTTGCTTCCTATCATCAGTGGGGAACCAGGCTTCACTACTGGAAAAGAGTCTCAATAAAAGTGATTTTCCCCAGCACTTTGGGAGGCCGAGACGGGCAGATCACGAGGTCAGGAGATCGAGACCATCCTGGCTAACACGGTGAAACCTCGTCTCTACTTAAAAATACAAAAAACTAGCCGGGCGAGGTGGCGGGCGCCTGTAGTCCCAGCTACTCGGGAGGCTGAGGCAGGAGAATGGCGTGAACCTGGGAGGCGGAGCTTGCAGTGAGTGGAGATCACGCCACTGCACTCCAGCCTGGGTGACAGAGCAAGACTCTCAGGAAAAAAAAAAAAAAATGATTTTCCAGCATTACAAGGAAGCAATCAAGCAAATGGAGCAATTTACTCCTTCCGGCAGCTTCCCAGCTGTTTCAGTTGCCTGAACAGCCTTAGTCAGGCCTTGGCTGTGGCTTTTGTGGGTGCTTTACTTCCTCTGGTCAGAAGTGTGGGTGGTCAGTGGCCTGATGGGAGTGCTGCCAACCATCTTCTGCAAGGAATGTTCCAGAACCAACCCCTCCTGGCAGTAGCCAGCCTGAGGAATAGCTTTGAGCCCTGATATAGGCCAGACACTTCCTAAAGAGTCTTCCCCCTCTGGTTTCCTGACCAGGAAGAGTATGCTTCAGTAGTCATACTGTCACAGAGGCAGCTGCCCTGATCTCCAGCTTCTCTGTCAGAACGTATATCTGTTTCCTTAGGTATTTCTTGGCTTATTCTTTCCACATCTGGTTTGAATCATCAGAGTTGAGGGGTTCCTCCTGTCAAGGACTGGCTTCTCATCTACCTCAGCTATTAGGGCTGGGCCATGGGCCAGTGCTTGACCTCTTGCTTTGGCTATCAGATTTCCCATGGGCTGCCCAAGGGTGCAGATGTCTGAGATACATATTTCACATTCTAGTATGTAAGCTATCCTGTACAAAAAGGCCTAGTTATAGGTCCTAATAAACCATCTTCGCCACAGTGCGGCACACCAGCTAGAGCTCTCACCACTATTTCTGGCTGGGAGACCTCTCAGACCCATGTCCACCACTTAACTGCCCTCTGGCCATGCTGCTCATCTGGGCCTAGTACAGAAGCAGTATGGCTTTGGGGCACATCCTGATTTCTATGAAATACTGATCAGAAAACTTTTCATTTCTTTGCAGGAAATTGAAAAATTGGAGCACAAATTGAACCAAGCCCCTGAGAAGTGGCAGCAGCTGTGGGAAAGAGTAACTGTGGACCTTAAAGAAGAACCAAGAACAGATCGTGTGAGTTGGCAATGCCCCTTAAGAGCTACTTCTGAGTTTTCTGAGGGTGCTAAGTCAGGTGGAGCCCACTGCCACAGGTGACAAGACCCAGCTGGGTTTATGGCCAGAAGGAAGGGTGGAAAGGGGAGGGGTCATGTCCTGGGGGTCCAGGGCAGAAAGTTCCAAATGACTGAATACTTCCTGAGTGTCTCACTTCACCACAGTGACATACTACTTATGTCTCAGCACCCCAAATCCAAGGGAAATTATTGGGTTCTTTCCTGTCTCACTGCCTGTGTGGTTTCAGCGGATCTTCTACCACATGAGGGAGGAGGGGAATGCCAAGACCATGTTTGCTCCACAGAAAGTATTTTAAAACAACAAAACATGCCACTTTGTGTTGTTCACAATCCCTTTTCTGTTTCTGACTTAAGAAACATTTATCATAAAAATATTTTAACGATTGGGCAAGGTGGCTCACGCCTATAATCCCAGCACTTTGGGAGGCCGAGGCAGGCAGATCATGAGGTCAAGAGATCGAGACTATCCTGGCCAACATGGTGAAACCCCATCTCTACTAAAAATACAAAAAGTAGCTGGGCGTCTGTAATCCTGGCTACTCAGGAGGCTGAGGCAGGAGAATCGCTTGAACTTGGGAGGCAGAGGTTGCAGTGAGTGAGCCAAGATTGCACCACCACACTCCAGCTTGGTGACAGAACAAGATTCCATCTCAAAAAAAAAAAAAATTATATATATATATATATATATATGAACGAAATACTCTGTTTTCTGCTTCTCATACCCCATTTCCTATTTCTGATCTAATATGGTACACACCTTCGCATCCTATTTAATCCACTGTGAGGGAATAGTATTCCCTCTCCTACGTGAGGAACAGGCACAGAGATCATCCAGTGGCAACTGGTAGAGCCACCAATCGAACCCACATCAGACTGGCTCCAAATGCAACAGAAGGGAAATTAGGATAGATGAGTGTTCTGAAGAACAGTTCAGGAAGAAGAGGCCAGCAGGTCAGATGTTGCAGAAAGGTCAAGAAGAATGGAAGGTAGAAGAAAACCTTTGTGGTAAAAAGAGACCATCTGGGGCTCTATCTCTTAACCTCAAATAGCAATTCAGGAGCTGTTATCAGACAGACAACAGGTGGGTGATGCCTTAATGCTTTTTTGTTAGAAAAATAATAGTTTATTGATTTTTTCTGATAATGAAAGTAATAATGTTCATTTTTTTGAAAGAACACACAAAGTTATAAAATAGAAGATGAGAATCACCCACAATTTATAGCCTAGAAGTAAACCACTGTGCTATCAAACTTGTTTTACCATACAAATTCACATATAAAAGAGATTTACTAGACATACTATTTTAAACCTGCTTTTTCGGCCGGCAGCGGTGGCTCAAGCCTGTAATCCCAGCACTCTGGGAGGCCGAGGCGGGCAGATCACGAAGTCAGGAGATCGAGACCATCCTGGCTAACATGGTGAAACCCTGTCTCTACTAAAAATACAAAAAAAAAGAAATTAGCCGGGTGAGGTGGCAGGCGCCTGTAGTCCCAGCTACTCCGGAGGCTGAGGCGGGAGAATGGCGTGAACCTGGGAAGTGGAGCTTGCAGTGAGCCAAGATCGCACCACTGGGGGCGACAGAGCGAGACTCCATCTCAAAAAAAAAAATAAAAATAAAATAAATAAAATAAACCTGCTTTTTCACTCCACATTGGCATACATGTCCTTCCATCTGTCACTGTGTGTAAACCAATGTCTGCCAGGCGCACTGTAATCCCAGCACTTTGGGAGGCTGAGGCAGGCAAACCACGAGGGCAGGAGTTTGAGACCAGCCTGGCCAGCATAGTGAAACCCCGTCTCTACTAAAAATATAAAAAATTAGCTGGGCATGGTGGTGTGCACCTGTAATCCCAGCTACTCGGGAGGCTGAACCCAGGAGGCAGAGGTTGTAGTAAACCAAGATCACACCACTGCACTCCAGCCTGGGCGACAGAGTGAGACCCTGTCTCAAAAAAAAAATCATCTTTTTTTTTTTTGAGATAAGGTCTCACTCTGTCACCCAGGCTGGAGTGCAGTGGTGTGATCATGGCTCACTATAGCCTCAACCTCCCGGGTTCTGGTGATCATCCCAAGTAGCTGGGACTACAGGCACACATCACCATACTCGGCTCATTTTTAAAATGTTGTTTGTAGAAATGGGGCTTCATGTTCCCCGGGCTGGTCTCGAACTCCTGGACTCAAGTGATCCACTCACCTCGGCCTCCCAAAGTGCTGGGATTACATGTGTGAGCCACCACGCCTGGCCATAGCAACATCATTTTTTAATGGCTGTCTAGAATTCCACTGTATGGAAATGCCATAATTTGTTTAATGTCCCTAATAATGGACGGGTAGGTTGTTTCCAGTTTTTTACCATGATAACTAACTCTGGGACTGATAGTGTTGTACATTATCATTGCTTATTCGTCCAGTTTTTTCCCTGAGATAAATATTTGTAAATGAAATGTTCCAATCAGTGGCGTAAGTGTCTGTAAAGGTTTCCTAGCTCCTGTCCTGTCTTTTTCAGTCCCAAAGACACCTGTCGAGGTCCCCAGGAATTGTGTCTGCCAACCTCCCTTCCTATCAGAAGAGATCTCTGCTACATCTCCCAGACAGCAGCATGGGGGAGGAACAGAATTCCAGCATCTCCCCATCCAATGGAGTGGAGCGAAGAGCAGCCACGCTCTATAGCCAGTATACGTCCAAGAATGAGGAAAACAGGTGACATGCTGAATCCTGCTCGGTGTGCTGAAGACTTCCCCACACCACCTGAGGCTAAACCACAGGCCCCTCAATAAGCTAGGCCTGTGCAGTACAGTCTTTTATAAACTTGAAATGGATTTGCTTTAACTTTTGTAATGTTTTAGATGTCTCTTTGAAAAGAAAAAAAAAATTACAACTAAAAATAATGCCAAGAGGTTGTAGTTATTTGTAGTTGAGTCCTGATGGCTCTTATCTCCTGTCTGCCAGAACGTTTGAGGGAATATGTGTTAGCCAGCACTTTGTCAGTGGCAAACATCAGAAATCCAGCTTATGCTAGCTGAAGCAAAAAGGAATTTACTCACATAAACTAGGACAGTCAAGGGTATGCTAGCTTCTCACACAGTATCTTCTATCCGTTTCCCGGCTCTGCTTTGCCCTCTCTCTGTGTTATGTCAGTCCCAACATGGCACAAAAGATGGCTACTGATCATTCCAAGCCTCACAGATGTGGTAATCCCAGCAGAAAGCAGCAGTCTTTCCCCAGGGGTCTAGTAGCAAAATTCCAGGGAGAACTCTTATTGGCCATTTTTGGATCATCTAGGGGAAATAGAGACTTAACAAAAACAACAGACATCCCCTCCCCTTTACAGCATTTCGTAAGTGTAAATCAAAATTAACTCTCCTGTCATCATTTCTTCTAGGTCCTTTGAGGGAACACTTTATAAAAGAGGGGCTTTGCTGAAAGGTTGGAAGCCCCGTTGGTTTGTTTTGGATGTAACAAAACATCAGGTAATACTCTTAAAGCCAAAAGAAATTATTTCTGTCTAGGCTAGTCCCAGTCCCCGGCTATTATGTGGCTCTAGCAGACAGATTCCTCATGTACAGACTGCTTTTTTAGTGCCTCTCATATGCAATCTGGAGGCTCCTCAAGGGCCCCAGATGTCCCTGAGTAAGGGCAATAGCCTTCCGAGGAAGTTTCCCAAGTAGCTCGGCCTGGTACTTGCGGCTGAGGCAGCAACAGTTGAGCCCAGAGCATACAGCAATAGAACTCTTTTTTAATGCTCAGATATCTCTTGCTGCCTGATCTTAAAACCCAGGTGAGGGGATTCCTGAGGTTTTCAGCCTGTTGCATACATGCACATATAAGCCTGTGCCTGTGAACCCTCCTCAGAATACAGGTTACCTTTGTCCTTGCAGCAGAAAGCATCCATTCAAAACGGAGGGCATTAATTTATTCTACAAACATTTATCGAACACCACCTCTGTGCCCATTGCTGTACTGGTTAGTAAAGAAGGCACTGTTACCCTTCAAAGATGGCAGCAACAGGGGAGCAAAGGGGCCCCAAAAGAGGCAGAAGGGGATGTGCCCACCCAAACTTGGAATTCACCGTGGGCAAGTACTAGACTGGACCTTGCTGACTATGTCAAGAAATCTTTTGACTACTGTTAGGTTCTTAGCTATTCCTGTAGCAGCCTCTGCAATCCTTAGCATCATAGTCTTTACTCCAGTGATTTCAAGGGAGAGCAATTCCTACCCAAACCTCCAGCAGCTCTGCACCCTGCATTACTGAGAGCTGCATGGTCTCCTGTGTTCTGACTGCAGGCCTTACTCTACCTTGGAATTGACCACTCAGCCTTGAGGCTGAGGGTTACACATTTTGATTGTCAATGCATTTACTATAAAATGGAATCTGTTAGGAAAAACCTGAACTGTTACTCCTATAATACAGTGCTTTGGTTGGACCTGCATCTAGAAGACTCCTTCCAAATGAAGACTATATTTGGGGTCCAGCTTTTCCTCTACTTAAGGAATTTCATAATGATTACAGAGTCTTTGTGGGACAATATAGATAATTTATGTTCAAATATACAAATGGAAGCCCTGTTAGGGAGCTATACTCTGAAATCATAGAGCCTACACTGTGTAAAAAAGTTCCATTAAACTTCTAAATATAACGTAGGAGAACGTCATAATTTTTCTATAATTTACAATTACATCAAATTATACTTACATTCTTACCAGTCTTCTGGACTTCTTTAACATGAAAGATACAGTTTTTCCACTTAGCCCTGCTTATACCATGCCTGAGAGGAGAGAGAGAGAAAAGTCTCAGGCCAGAGCCACATTGTCAGAAGCACTACTTTCCTGCCATGTACACTAGAGAGTAAAATCCACAGATTATGGCCCAATAAGGCTTATTCCCTAGCAGTCTCTTTGACATTTTTCCTTTTTTTTTTTTTGAGGCAGAGTCTTGCTCTGTTGCCCAGGCTGGAGTGCAGTGGTGCAGTCTCGGCTCACTGCAAGCTCCGCCTCCTGGGTTCTCGCCATTCTCCTGGCTCAGCCTCCCAAGTAGCTGGGACTACAGGCGCCCGCCACCACACCCGGCTAATTTTTTGTATTTTTAGTAGAGACTGGGTACGGGGTTTCACTGTGTTAGCCAGGATGGTCTCGATCTCCTGACCTTGTGATCTGCCCGCCTTGGCCTCCCAAAGTGCTGGGATGATTTTTTTTTCCTTTTTTTATTATTCCAAAAGGCAATATATGCTTATTATACCACATTCAAACATTTCATACAGATCTCAAAATCCCCTGTGTAGTCAAACGCTAAGCTATTTATTGTGTTCTTCAAAAATCATTTTTTATCTACATGCTGTTGGCAACTTGATCTTTAAAATGTCTTGAACAGTTTTCCTATATGAGTTCTGTATGAACTCATATAGATCTTCCATATTGTTTTTGAAAAGCTCTATAGTATTCCATTTTATTGATGAATTGTCATTTAATGTATTCACTGCTGCACTGAAAGACAAATATGTCTTTTCCAATGTTTAGCTGATAAAGCTGAAGGAAACTTCTTCATACATCTTTCTTTGCATGCTTATAGGAGTATTTCTGTAGGACTACTTTATAAAGGTGGGAAAGGTGTTTCTTTTTTTTTTTTTTTTTTTTTTTTTTTTGAGATGGAGTTTCACTCTTGTCACCCAGGCTGGAGTGCAGTGGTGCATTCTCGGCTCACTGCAACCTCTGCCTCCTGGGTTCAAGCGATTCTCCTGCCTCAGCCTCCCCAGTAGCTGGGATTACTAGTGCCCACCATGCCCAGCTAATTTTTGTATTTTTAGTAGAGATGGGATTTCACCATATTGGTCAGGCTGGTCTCAAACTCCTGACCTCAAGTGATCTACCCACCTCAGCCTCCCAAAGTGTTGGGATTACAGGCGTGAGCCACTGCACCCAGCGTGGAAAGATGTTTCAATAGGCATAAGCATTCTAAATTTTAGTTGATATTGCCAATTTGTTCTCCAAAAAATTTCCAACAAATTATATTCACACTGGCAGTATTTGAGATGATCTAGTACCTTATTGGATATCATCAGCCATTTTTAATATTTCTCAATCCAAAAGTGGAATCTCATTTATTATCATTTACTTTTCTTTGATTAATGAAGTTGATCATCTTTTCAAATATTTGTAAGTCATTTGTATTTCTCTGTGACTCGCCTGTTGAGATATTTTGAGCATTTTTCTACTAGATTGTTTATCTTTTTCTTATCAATTTCTGGGAATTCTGTATATTACTAAACATTAGCCCCCTTTTTATATGTTACATATACTTTTTACAGTTGTTACTTCACTTCTTTTTTTTTATTATTTTGTTTTTTGAGACAGGGTCTTACTCAGGCTGGAGTACAGTGGCAGGATCTCAGCTTACTGCAACTTGACCTCACAGGCTCGAGCAATCCTCCCACCTCAGCCTCCTGAGTAGCTGGAACTACGGGCATGCACCACCACGACTGGCTAATTTTTGTATGTTTTTGTAGAGACAGGGTTTCATCACATTGCCCAGCCTGCTGTCGAACTCCTAGGCTTAAGTGATCCATCCCAATGTACTGAGATTACAGGCATAAACCACCATGCCCAGCCTTAATTCTATTTTTTAAGATGTAATACATTTATTTGTTCAATTTCTAAACAGTACATAAGTCTTTCCCTCAGTGCTTTCTCCAAGTTCTTCCTAGTTCTTCCTAGAAGCAACAAGTAACATTAATTTTTTGTGTATTCTTCCAGGCATAGTTTAGCATATATAACCAAGGTACAGAGGAAGGTATTCAAATACAGTTTGAAAAGCCATGCCATTTTCTCTTTCTGCGTCTCTGATATCTCACTTGTATCCTTTTGGTTGCAGCTGCGATACTATGACTCAGGTGAGGACACGAGCTGTAAAGGCCACATTGATCTGGCTGAAGTAGAAATGGTCATCCCTGCTGGCCCCAGCATGGGAGCCCCAAAGCACACAAGTGACAAGGCTTTCTTTGATGTAAGTTGATCTTACTTCTCTTTTACTGGCTCTGCCTGCACATCATTCTATCTGTCTCCAAGAATGATGGAGCCCTCAGAGCAATTGGTGGTGACTACAGATGGATGACAGACCCCCTTGGCTATGGGAATTGTTCCAGAGCTTGAACTCAGCATTATTGACCCCAAGGCTATCCTCTCTTCCTGTCTGTATGTCTCAGAAAAGCTGTATACTGCTTTATGCAAAAGGAGTCCAGCCACACATGGAAACAGATGAACTCCTTGTTAAATGCTGTTAGTTCAGTTACTACCTACTTTCAAGAACAGATGCTATTTCCCTAGTATTCAGCGGTCTTCATGCTTGACCACCCACAAAAGACTGTCCTTAGGCACACATGAGAAGTATCTACCCTAACATCTTCAGCAGCCCTCACGTGGGCTATGGGGCACTTTATAGGCCACATAATAGAAGGGGACTTATGTAGTCCCTGGAGTCAAGCAGGGCTTCATAAAGAAGATAGGTCATCCTTTATTGCCCTGCTCAGGCCATGAGATCGTTTTCCTGACAGTGGGCTTCCAATATGGCTCCAACTGAAGAAAGGGGACACAAAGGCCAACTTTATGGTATGGATGAATCTCAGGCATCCCCCTGGAGCACAAGGAGCTCCCTCACCTTTAGTGCATTGGTGCAGTGCATGGGAGAGGTTAAAGGCACCATTCATTGCTGACCCTTCCTCCTTAGTCAAAGAAGACACTAAGAAAATGCAAAGTAAGGCGCTCTCAGTGTGTCTCCTTTTCCTGCCAGTACCCTTCTACCAACATCCCCTATGACTCTAGAGACCAGAAAAGTAAAGGCAGTAACAGTATGGTAGTTGAGGAGAAAAATTCATACGGAGGTTCTGGGGCAGTATGGAAAAGAAAGGTCACAGGGACTGATTTACCATTTACCCAAATCTATAAAACAGCCCTGCCCTTCATCTCTGGTTCTCTGTCATTTGGTTTTGTAGCTCAAGACCAGCAAACGTGTGTATAACTTCTGCGCGCAGGATGGACAGAGTGCCCAGCAATGGATGGACAGGATCCAGAGCTGTATCTCTGATGCCTGATGCCCATGGTCAACCTATGCCGAAGAAATAGAGGAACTCATGCTGCCAGATAGAAAAAAAAAAAAAGCATGGATCCTTGAGGAGCTGACAACACGTTATCCCAGGGCCTGAGGTTCTCCTGCCCAATCCCTTCTTGCAGGGGTTGCTATATCTACTTAACCTGAATAGGTGTTTCACACAGGTCTGGTCAATAGCCCCATGCACTCCCTATATCTTGCACTACATTTTTCTAACAGGGTCTTAGTGGTTAATGATCAGAAGATGTCTCCTGAGCCAACTGTGAACCTCACCCAGGCAAAATGGCTACCACCTACTTGGGTCCTTCTTCATGAAAGCTATAGATCCTTTTTTGTTCTCCAGGGTCATAATTTGCTTGGAGACCTGTTTAACAAGCAAAAATCAAAACCCTCCAAGATTGTCTCATATTCTACCTAGACTAGGTTTCCTATGAGAGGCATCTACTTGTACTGCCTGACCTTTGAGATGCTCAGTTCTCTGGTGCTGCCAAAAGGTGCTTCCATGGTCCCTTCTCTGCCACTGGGGTTCACAACAAGAGATGTCATTGTTCAGTAGCAGGCAAAGAGGAAGCACACAGCATTATTCTGATGGAAAAAGATTATCCAGGGAATGGTACAATGACCAGCCCAATGCAGGAAAACACTACTTCCAAAACATTAAATTCTCTATCCAAAACGTTGAATTCTCTAGACCAGAGGTGCTCTGAGGATCCAGGGCCTTGTGTTCTTATGTATCTTCTGCTTCCTGACAGTTTCTTTTTCAAAATAACATGCAAAAAAAGCTGAATGCACTAACTCACAAACACTTGCACTGAACTCCCAATGAAGTGAAGATGTTGGAAAGACAGAGGCCAGCTATTTAGGACCACACACACCTGTGACAAGGGCTGTGTTGACCACAGTCACACTGTGGCATGACTGGATACCCAAACTACACTTCTACACATGAAAAGTAAGAACTGTCTTTAGATTTTCTTTACTTTGATAACTTGTGTTTGTTTAGCTTAAGACCCAAGAAATGCTGTTTGCTCATGGTAAACAGAAACAGCATCTTTGCTACAGCCACTGACACCAGCTGGCGTCATAGGTAGCTAGATCATTGCATTTGTTTTGAAATGTTAATATGTTAAATACTAAACTAATATTTCAAAAATGTGTATATATGATTTCTATATCCTTGCTTTTCAGATAGCCTGCTTATAATTTAATATAAATTAACTGATGCATTCATAAGATTTCAATAATGAAATGGTTCCCTTTTTTAAAAATAAAAATACATTGTCTTTGTAGATTAAAAATGTCGGAATTTCAAATTTAAAATTGTCTACACACTAGGAAATAGAACTGTGTTAATATATAAGAAATTCGGGGATAATTAAGAATGAAGGACTTTTCTATCATTTCCATTTTATAAATTGCCACCTGTGAAAATGGTTTTTGCACATTATTTGTATTTTTCTTTGTATATGAAATAATTTTTTGTACTTTGTAAAATATGGACCCCATTGTACCTTCAGCTATTTGAGACTATACACAGTGCTTCTTTTGTAACTGGACTATTTTAACTTTCGTGAAGGCATTACATTGCCTCACATTCACTAACCACCTTGAATTAAATTTATTTCTTAAGAAAAAGCATCCCTCATTTACTGTGAACCGAAGTTCGTTCTGTAGTGCACAGCACGCAGGAGGGTAACACTCAGGATTCATACATGGGACTAAAGGTTCAAGAATAAAACAAAGCATGGCCCACTTTGTGCCTTCATTCTCCTAATGTCATCACTGCCCTTTGCTCAAGAAGTAACCAGGGATACTGAACATGTTAGCATGAGCTTCTGGGTTCCAGACACACTTCTGCAGAGTTTAGGTAAGAGACTTGAGGCCAAGATTCTCACGTGTGCTGCCACTCCTACCACTGTCTAATAAGCTGTTTGTCTGAAATTGCTTAAGTCCCTTGCCTATTCTGGGTCCATTCCACCACCTAGAGTATATAGTAATTTGTGAAAATTTTAGGCATGAGACATTGAAGTCTGAGCAGCAGATTTTTCTGCTTCAGGGAATTTTTTTTTTTTTTTTTTTTTGAGACGGAGTCTCGCTTTGTTACCCAGGATCTGGAGTGCAGTGGCGCGATCTCAGCTCACTGCAAGCTCTGCCTCCCGGGTTCACACCATTCTCCTGCCTCAGCCTCCCAAATAACTGGTACTATAGGCACTTGCCACCATGCCCGGCTAATTTTTTGTATTTTTAGTAGAGACGGGGTTTCTCCGTGTTCGCCAGGATAGTCTCAATCTCCTGACCTCGTGATCTGCCCTCCTCGGCCTCCCAAACAGGGAATTGTTAAACAGCACAAATGATCAGTGATTTCAGTTCTAGACAGTACTTCTCTGGTTAAGCCCATGAGTTTACCTCATGTAGCCAACAGAGAATGCAAGTTTTCATCTCAGGGCTGAGCCTTTAAGTCCTTTGACATCCAGAGTCCTCTGAGCCAAGCAAGAGGACCCCAAAGAGCCACTGAGGCTCAAGGTGAGACAGTGACATATTCCCTGAGCTTTCGGTTCTCCTCAGTCTCAAGAGCATGCTGATCTAAGCCAAGGGCCCTCAAGCCTTTCCTTGGTCCTGGGCCTCTCAACAGCTACCATTACGCATTGCTGTGTCCCTGAGATTCAGTCAGGCAGGAAACAACTGGGATTAGGGGTTGAGTAGAAGCTGTGTTCACAGTGTCAGTATCTGGATGCCCTTCATTCCTCAGGTCTTAACTGTAAAAGGGGAGAATACTGGGTTCTGTAAACCAAAAATAAAATTCTAAGACCCCCAGATAACTGAATGGATCCTTCTCAGCCAAGGGAGTTCCAAAGAAACCTGAAAAATGAGTTCCAGTCATGATGCTGGGGCAAGGAGGTGGACAGGCCTCATTATAGCCTCTCCCTTTTGGAGTTTAGACACAACAGACTAGCATTAACATTAAAACAGATCTTAAGACTGACAAAATAGACTGTCACAATAAAATACCAAATTCCAACCTGACTCTAGTATAGCATCACATAACAGATAGTAAGCCCTAAAGGAAATCAAAGCTTTTTTAATCCCAAAATACATTCCTTTTACATATTTTGAAATGGCCCTGCAAAGCTGTATCTTGGGGGGATTTACATTCTATAGAGGATCCCTTTCCCTTCCCAGGTCTTTTTCTGATCCTGAAGAGATTAGCTAAGAGTCTAGTGCCTTTTATTAAATGTCTGAATAGGAAATATTTGCTATCTGTTGCCTCTAAGGGCAGCCACCTATGAGACTTCGTCTACATAAGAAACTAGGTCTCTACAACCCCTTATCTTAACCTAGACTCTCAATTTCAGCCTTTTAGATAATAACTCCTTCAACCAATTGCCTATCAGAAATCTTTGAATCCACCTGTGACCTATAAGCTTCCGCCTTTCCAGGCCAGACCAATTTGTACTTCACATGCATTGGTTGATGTCTTATGTCTCCCTAAAACATATAAAAACAAGAGCCTTTAACCCAACCACCTTGGGCTTGTATTCTCAGGACCTCCTGAGGCTGTGTCCTGGGTCACAATCCTTAACCTTGGAAAAATAAATCTCTAAATTGATTGAGACCTGTCTCATATACTTTTTTGCTTTACAGTTCCAAGGGAGAAAGACCAGAGCTTGGCTGCCTGCAAGAGCCTTAACAGGGCCCTTCCTTCTGTGGTCCCAGTGACAAAACCCTTCTAATGTGGGCTCTTGAAAGATGCAAACTCAAAGGAGCACATAGCATAAAGTCACTTCCCAACCCCTTTGACCCAAATCCTTTATTCCCACCTCCCAAACCCCTTCACTCTACTAGTCTCCACCCCGGAGCTAGAGCTTAAACTGCTAATAACATGGCAGATTTGCTTCTCAAGGGAAACTGACATTTTTAGGTATTTAATCAGGGGTTCTTATAAGAGTTGTTAAGTAGCCCTATCATCCCATAAAGAATTTCTGAAAGATCCCAAGTTGATAACAGGGAAGTGCCCTCAGCAATCCCAGCCAAAGCTATTAATTAAGCAGTGAATAAAACAGTGTTGATGAAGAGATAGGGTTTACAGCAGCACCATCAAGCATATATAATGCAAGCCACATAGGTATCTTTAAGTTTAAAAAAAAGATGACATTAATTTTAATATATTTGTTTTTACCATATATTTACTCCAATATATCAAAAATATTTTAATGTGTAAACAATACAAAAAAATTAATGAAATATATTCCTTGTTCATACTAAATCCTCAAAATCTAGTGTGTATTTTATACTTACAGCACATCTGAGTTTGGACTAATATGTTTTTTTCAGAGGCCACTTCTGATAAAACAAATGCATATCATGTTTCTATACCAGTTCTCCAACATCAACTGGACATCCAACAATCCAGTTCAAGTCTGACACTAACTCTCCAGATTTAGCACAGACTCCACAAGTTCAGGTCTGTCTTTAAGACTGCCCCCACTTCAAACACTAGTTGCAAGTTCCAAGGGCCACCAGAACTTCTAACCAACCAGCTATAAATATGAAGGTTTCCACAACCCCCTTCTCAGGTTCAGTAATTTGCCAGAACAAATCACATAACTCAGAAAAACACTTTACTTACATTTACCAGCTTATTTCTAAGCGATAAACCTCAGGATCAGCCACAGGAAAGAGATGCACGGTATGGAGGGAGGCAGCACACCACCTGCCCAGCATCTGATGTGTTCACCAACCCAGAGGCACTCCTTATCTCATTATTCAAGAGGTTTTACAACCCAGTCTCCAGTTACCCTCCCTCCCCCGAGGTTGGGGGTGGCTGAAAGTTCCCACCTTCTATTCACTAGTCTGGCCTTTCAGACGACCAGCACGCATCCTTAACCTAGCTAGGGACCCCACCTGAATCACCTTGTTAGCATAAACTCAGGTGTTGCGAAGGGCAGTTATGAATAACAAAAGATACTCCTAAAGGGTGGGGTGTGTTAGGAACTTTTAAAAGAAACTATCACTTCAGAAATTTCTAGGGTTTTAGACACTGTGTGCCAGGAACCCAGAACAAAGAACAAATATATTTTGTACTCTACCACAACTAGCCTTATTTCCACTGCTACCACACTAAACAATACATATTTACAGCAAATAGCCTGCTCACAGCAGAGCCGTGCTGGGTGGCAAGAGACCTGGCTTCTAGTGCTGGCTGTCTTCTAATCTCATCTATGACCTTGAACCAGTCCCTTAACTTTGCTGGGCGTTGACTTACAAAAATGCAGGACACAGATGATCTGTTACTTTGTGATTCCAAATATTTACCTTGGCAAGGACTTAGTTTCCAAACTGAGATTTAAAGGATTTGCTGAAAAATCCAAATCATCTAAATCAGTGCTTCTCAAATTATAATGCATATATGAATCATCTTGTTAAAATGAGATTCTGATTCAAGAGGTTTGGGGTGGGGCTTGACATTCTGCATTTCTAATGAGGCCAGTGCTGCTGGTCCAAGGACCACAACACTGGTCCTTGGTAACAGAATTGTTCTTGGAGTAACAGAAATGTGTCTCAGTCCTCTGAGAAGCAGATGCCTGATAGGCAGGAACTCATGGAAGGCTGGAAGAGCCAAGAGACCATGATGCTGGTATAATCCTTTTGAAAAAGAAAGGGAAGCAAAGTTGAGTGGAGAAGACTTGGATTGCAGTGCAGTTCTAAGGAAGTTCAGCAAGGCAGATAAGAAGTCCTTGAGCCATCAGGGGAATCCCACATATTCCAAGAATGGGCCTTCCTAGGATCCCTGCCATGCTCAATCATTGGCTAGGAGCAGTTCATGGGAAGCATGGTTTTGGTGGAAACACAGTAATAGATTTCAGAATATACCAGCTGAGGCCAACAGTCAATGACAGTCACTGCAGTCAGAAATCTTTCATGGTTGTCAATGTTAAAGTTGTCAGAATCAAAATGGAGTCACTTATGTTTATAAAAAGCAAAACAAAACAAAACAAAAAAGCCTGATAAATTGAGCCAGGAAAAGCTATGAAGAGAGAGTACTCATGCATAAATACCTGATAACAAAAACTATCATAAAAAACTGCAAAACTTGCAACCTTGCACAAAGGCCATTGCAACCTTACACAAAAATTACTCCTTTGAAGGCATCTGTCCAGCAACTGCCTGTCCAGCCTTGGATTAGTGTCACCCTTGTTATTGATCCTTGTAGCCAGGATAATTATCTCAAAACAATTATGTATTGATCCTCACTTTTCCTTTAAAAAACCTTTGTGGTCCTTTACCTCCCTGAATACACACATAGCTTACTATGTGTTATATAGGTATTCCCATTGCAATGCCCTTGATGTAGTTTGGATGTGTGTCCTCACCCAAATCTCATGTTGAAATGTAATCCCCAGTTGGAGGTGGGGCCTGGTGGGAGTTGATTGGATCATGGGAGTGGATTTCTCATGAACGGTTTAGTACCGTCAACTTGGTACTATTTTCATGATGGTGAGTAAGTTCTCCTGAGGTTTAAAAGTGTGTAGCATCTTCCCCGTCTCTCTCTTGCTCCTGCTCTGGCCATGTGACATGCAAGTTCCCACTTGGTCTTCTACCGTGATTGTAAGATTCCAGAGGCCTCCCCAGAAGCAGATGCCACTATGCTTCCTCTACAGCCTGTAAACCATGAACTAGTTCAACCGCTTATAGTTTGTTTGTTTTGTTTTTTTTTTAGACAGGGTCTTGCTATGACACCCAGACTGTAGTGCAGTGGCGCAATGACAGCTCACTGCAGCCTTGACCTCCAGGACTCAAGCAATCCTCCCAGCTCAGCCTCCTGAGTAGCTGGGATTACAGGTGTGCTCCACCATGCCCAGCTAATTTTTTTATGGAGACAGGGTCTCACTATATTGCCCAAGATGGTCTTGAACTCATGGGCTCAAACAATCCTCCCACCTTGGCCTCCCAAAGTGCTAGGATTCCAGGCATGAGCCACCGCACCTGGCATCAGGTATTTCTTTATAGCAATGCAAGAACAGACTAATACAGCCCTATTATGTAAATATTATTTTCGTTTAGAGAGCCTCTCTGTTATTTAAGGTGACATAAATGGTGTCCAGAAGCAGGACCTGAAAAAGAGTATCAGAAGGAATTCATGATTCTTGGAACTAGTGTACAATACTCACCTGAGCCCTTTGAGCACTCTGTTTCTATGGCTCACATTTTCTGCCCTGGTGGATTTCCTCTCAGGCCAAGCCTCCCCCTTTTTGGTAGAAGCTCTTGACTTGGAAGCGGAGTTGTTGTCTGGGGTAATACCCAAGGTTCATTGCCTCGTGCCAAGAAAATTAAGGACACGGACATACACAAGGAGTGAGTTTAAGAGCAGAGGTTTACTAGGCAAAAGAAAGAGAACAGCTAGCTCTGCCCTTCAAGAGAGCCTGGACCACAGTGGAGTGCACTGGATTTTATAGACAGGCTTAAGGAGGTGATACCTGATTACACAGGGCCCAAAGATTGGTTGGACCAGGTGTGACATTACATACTGTCCAGGGAATGACTGCCCCACCCTAATCTTATTTTGCAAATGAGGTCTTTGCTTGACTGGCGCCATCTTGTCTGCTCCTTATGGTATGCGTGGCTGGCAAAGAGAAGAGAAGATGGAGCTGTCATGTTGGATATGCCTAGTCCCAGTAGCCTTTTCCTATTGGCACAGCTGCTGGCATTCACCCGTGCAAACTTGCAGCTTGCTTGTCTATGTCTGCAGCTCAATTTTACAGGCTGCTCTTTGTTAGAAAATTATTTGGAAGCTTCTTTTCATTAAAAGGAAAACCTTACTAAGGACTTCCTTACCCTATGCCTAAATAATTTCTTCTTAACTCCTATATCAACTTTATTCAGGATTTGGTTTAGTGATAAAGCCGCCTTTAATAAAGGACTGTACGTCCTCCTGGAATGATAAAAGGGTTTTTATCTTTTGGTTTAAAGACAAGTGTCTTTCTGGATTGAGTACTCTGGTTTCTCCAGAATCCATGTTCTGTCTGCAAGACATGTCTTCTCTGGTAAATTTACTTTTGTTTCTTTCTGCGTTGGGATGGTTAATACTGAGTGTCAACCTGATTGGATTGAAGGATGCAAAGTATTGAACCTTGGTGTGTCTGTGAGGGTGCTGCCAAAGGAGATTAACATTTGAGTCAGCGGGCTGGGGAAGGCACACCCACCCTTAATCTGGGTGGACACCATCTAATCAGCTGCCAGCACAGATAGAATACAAAGCAGGCAGAAAAATGTGAAAAGAGAGACTGGCCTCGCCTCCCAGCCTACATCTTTCTCCCGTGCTGGATGCTTCCTGCCCTTGAACCTCAGACTCCAAGTTCTTCAGCTTTGGGACTCAGACTGGCTCTCCTTGCTCCTCAGCTTGCAGATGGCCTGTTGTGGGACCTTGTGATCACGTGAGTTAATACTTACTAAACTGCCTTTTATATATATATCTGTTCTGTTCCTCTAGAGAACCCTGACTAATATATGCATGCATAATTTAATTTTTTTCTACATTCCTGGGTTAACATTTTTGTGAACACTTTTATCTTGGTTTCATTTTGGTTTGGTTACATGAATCTGTAAATGGTTTGGCTCCTTTCCCTTGCTTGTTTCTAAAACTCTTCTGAGAGCAAAAATAAATATTCTAAATGGCGGGTGCCGGATGGCTATTTAAAAGCCACTAGGACAGTCACCACTATCTAAAACATGGGTCCAAACTCTTGACATTCTCTGACAGGATTTATAGGATTTTCTTTGCTCTCAAGAGATTAATAAGAAATGAAATGGGATTCTCACATATTAAGGCATGCCAAGGTTTTCTGAGACTCCAGCCAGCTACATATTATGGTCTATCTCATGAATATATTTAAACTAATGGGCCAGGTGCAGTGGCTCACGCCTGTAATCCCAGCAATTTGGGAGGCCGAAGCAGATAGATCACTTGAGCCCAGAGGTTCAAGACCAGCCTGGGCAACATGGCAAAGCGCCATCTCTACAAAAAATATAAAAACTAGGCAGGCATGGTGGCATGTACCTGTTGTCCCAGCTTCTTGGGAGGCTAAGGCTGGAGGATCAATTGAGCCCAGGAGGTTGAGGTTGCAATGAACCATGATCACACCACTGTATTCCAGCCTGGGCAACACAGCGAGACTCTGTCTCAAAAATAAAAACAACAACAACAAATACTAATGGACAAATCATATCAAGGAAAATTCAGAGCTCAAATGGTCTGGCATGGTGGCTTGTGTCTGTAATCCCAGCACGTTGGGAGGCCAAGGCAGGTGGATCACTTGAGGCCACAAGTTCGAAAAGAGCCTGGTCAATATGGTGAAACCCCATCTCTGCCAAAATTACAAAAATTAGCCAGGCGTGGTGGTGTATGCCTGTAGTCCCAGCTACTTGGGGGGGTGAGGCACAAGAATCACTTGAACCCAGGAGGCAGAGTTTGTAATGAGCTGAGTTCATGCCACTGTACTCCAGCCTGGGTGACAGAGCGAGACTCTGTCTCAAAAAAACTAAAAATAAAAAAATAAGAGTCATAATTTGAACTCTCTAAAATACACTACAACTATAGTGTTAACATCACAGTCTACCCCTTGTGCCACACAGATCTTTACTCTCCACCAGGTTCAGGGAGAAGTTCCTCCCCATTTCCCTTGGGCCTCTATTCCCAAGGGGAACTCAGAAGAATGCAGGAGGTCTGTGGGACCAACTATGGCCCCTACCAGTGAAGTTAATCTTGGAGCCATAACTGGCCTTCATTCTCTCCCTCTTCCACTATCTATTCCGAATTCCCCCCACCCTCAACAACTTCCTCAGATGCTGGTGGTTTACCTGGTGGTGTGAGCCAAACCTTCATTCCGGGGGTGAGCGGGAGGGGAGGGAAGGCGATAAATGCTAAATAATCAAACCCTTCTCAGGGTTGCTGCACATCCTTTCACAATTACAGTGGGGCTGCCTGGAGGTGCCCAGTGGATCACATGGGCTCTACACACATTCCTCCTGCCCTCATTATGCAGGAGCAGCCTTGCCCCTTCCTGTTGATCAGGGTCAGTTATCCCTGCCAGTATGATGACTCTTCTTGTCTGCTGGTTTCTGAGCACGAAGAATCCCAAGTGCCCTGCAGCAGCCACAAACCATAGTTCAATAGGACCCTTGCCATCATAGTGTCCCCCAGTTAAGTGCTGTGCTGTGTGGAATTCCATGCCTTTGGATCAGGTATTCTGTATGTCCCTGGAAAGTGATGCTAACTAAGGCTCTGTGGTGAGCAAAGGCACACCCATGCCCAGAATAAGTCTCTATCCCTGTAGAGATGAACCATTGGCCCTTCCAGAATGGAAAGGGCCTGATGCAGTTGACTTGCCCCAAATGATGTGTTGGTCTCAAGGAATAGTGCCATTTCAGGGGCTCAGCATTGGTCTCTGTTGCTGACACACTGGACATTCAAAGGCCCCTAGGCTCTTCTGCCATATCACATCACAGTGATCTCCAAAAGGCCTCTTTTTTTTTTTTTTTTTTTTTTTGAGATGGAGTCTCCCTCTGTCGCCCAGGCTGGAGTGCAGTGGCCGGATCTCAGCTCACTGCAAGCTCCGCCTCCCGGGTTCACGCCATTCTCCTGCCTCAGCCTCCAGAGTAGCTGGGACTACAGGCGCCCACCACCACGCCCGGCTAATTTTTTGTATTTTTTAGTAGAGACGGGGTTTCACCGTGTTAGCCAGGATGGTCTCGATCTCCTGACCTCATGATCCGCCCGTCTCAGCCTCCCAAAGTGCGGGGATTACAGGCTTGAGCCACCGCGCCCAGCCCAAAAGGCCTCTTAAAGGGGGGCCATGATGATGCTTTGAGCTCCAAGTGTTAATGTCAACTCAAACTCTGCATCTACTACTCAAAATGTCTTGTTATCCCCATTTCTCTAGTGAATGATCACCTAAATGGCCATAGGTCTCTTTGGGGGGAAAAATGAAGGAATCATTGTGACATACACTTGCTGCAATTCTGCAAAGTCCTTCCTCTTAGAGAGCTGGCCACCTCTTTAGTCAATAGTTCTCAAACCTAAGCTGATTTTCAGATATAGAACCATTCCTTTCTAAGGGAAGCACCTGTGAGGGACAATGGGCAGGGAGGCCAGAGAGGTTGGGAGGGCTATCAGACCATGATGGGGGTGGACCGCTGTGAAAGAGAGAGGG